AGGTAAATGTGCACCCCAGCATGAAACGATGCCTGAGCCTGCACTCTGTGCTCTTCACTCAACTGTGTAAGTTACCTTCGTAAATAGAGTATTTTTGTTTCGTAGCATGGACATGATGTAAACGTTGTACCATAATCTCCTTGACTCAGGGTATCACGGTTAGGGTTAATCGTGAGTATTTGTGGAAATGGTATAACGTTCGTTCGTGATTTGTGTTGATCCAACTGTGATTCATATATGAAGATATCTTTGCTTTAGGGATATCTTGCCAGTCCTTCAGGACGCGACATTGATGCGCGATTTGTGCAATGCAATTAGTGACCACTGTAAACAGCTGACGTCTCGGATCGATGCAGTTCTAGCCCTAGAATCTCGAGGCTTCCTTTTCGGACCTCAGGTTGCCATGAATCTTAAGGTGCCATTTGTTCCTGTTCGCAAGAAGGGGAAGCTACCCGGAGCGGTGCTTTGCGCCAGTTACGCCAAAGAGTATGGCTTTGTAAGTGAATTTTGATCTTTGGCTGTTTTGAATGCCGCACTGAGTAGCTTGGTTGGTTGACATCATTGTTTACACCAAATTTTCTCGACATATCCCTCCCACTTTCAGCTGCAGTAACGTTTTTGTTGTTCAAACAGTGTGCTATAATTGTAATATCAATAAAAAATTGAGTACTATTATGAAAGAAAAATTTTTGGGGTCAGAAATTTTTGAAATTGACAAAGCGGGATTTCAAACTCGCAAGTCTCCCTTCGCAAAGTCGCATGACAGTTGCCCATAGATCAGGTAGCTCAAATATGTCGAACATCTGACATTGTTCTGCCTTAGGGCCCAATCCATGAAACTTGATTGATTATTTAATAGACTAGCAGCAAAAAACAATCTCTTTATGCTATTATTCTCATTGTAGACATGAATAAATAGATGACTGAAAGAATGCGGCGTTTCTGAATTCGAAAATTGCTTATTCATCGGAACATTATTGCCAGAAGGTTGGTCAGAAGCCTCAAGATGGTCATTTGACCAAAGAATATGGGGATTGGGTGATCTCTTACGTTGTAAGACAAATTCTCTGGGAATGACTGTAGTCTACTACCATATTGACTAGCCACAGCAGTTGCAAAGTGCTTTGACTGTCTTTTAAAACGGCTTGAAATTGCTTTCATTATACTAGTGATTGATGTTATCAGCTGCATAAGCTTAAACCTATCAAGCTAAATAATTTAGAATTCATAATTAAATCGTAAATTTTTAATTAGTGAACCACAAAGAGTTATCTTATGTTGCATCTAGCCTCAGTTGCACGGCGGTATAAATCTTAGAGGAATGTGTTTCCTCTGCTAGCCATGGTAATCCCAAAGCCTTTCAGAAAAAATGTTTTCCGCAGTTATTCATCCTCTCATATAATCCGTGCTTAGCAACTACACAAATGAAATGTTCTTGTCTATATGTTAATTATTACTAAGTGTTTTCAAAAGTTGTTGCTGACTGAAACCCTAAGGTCTGATTTTGTAACAGTTTTTATCCACGCATTTAGATGAGTAACTGATCTAGCGTAAGAGTCAGTATATTTGAAAGAATCTAACTTTGACGTTTAGGATATCTTATATGTGACAAATAGCATCCTCTTTTCAAAAGGGTTATGATATACTGATAATTTCGAACGACCTTGATAATATACTGATTTGGATAATGCAGTTGGTGTGGGTAATGTATTTTGTTTCCCTTTGTTCTGTAGTATAATCATACTTGTATAGATTTTTTTTTGATAAACTGGGTTATGAAACAGTGTCACCACCCATTATTGAGATTGAATACTGAAGGTATCCCTTAATCCTTCCGTTCCTGTTTTTAGTTGGAATATTTTTCTCTTCAATAGAATTGTTTTAAACAGTAAAAGAAATTCTGTGAACCCTGACTACCAATGTTTGATTAATCGAGTTCGTGACAGGTCTTCGCAGCTACCTTAATGGCTCAGGAACAGGCAGAGTACAATACTTCACACTGTGATTCGATTCCTTATTTTGATAATTCAGTGAGGAAACCGTGTAAATGTGTGTGTCAGATTATTTAAAAGTTTTTAGCGTTGCTTTCGGTATTTGAATATCGGCGTGTTTGTTTTGAATTTTCAAATTATATTTAAAAACAGCATTATTTAGCTTAATCCTTTACTTGTTGGTGTTGCTTTAGGACGAGTTGGCCATTCAGAAGGACGTGCTTAAACCAGGGATGTCGGTTTTGATTTTCGATGATTTAATTGCAACTGGAGGTAGGTCGAAATTTGCAGCAAAAAACTCAACTGATTTGTAGTTGAATTATCAACAGAAATTATTCAAATGAAGCAATGTTGTCAGCTACCTTCATACTAGTCGCCTTGACCATGAACATATATCAGTCTCTTGTTTGATTGCTTAATTCATTTAACCAAGTCCAGAAGTTATTAATGGGGCTGTGATTCTCTGATTCTCCGGTATGATTTGACCCTTTACATGGCAGAACTGCGACAGCTTGTCTAAAGGTACTTGTGTTGTACAAAGCGTAGCTGAAGTGAGTGTTTGGCGACTGAAGGCCCCGGTCTAAAAGTCAATTCAGTCAATAGGCTCATCAGACGTTGCTCAGAGGACTTTGCATATTTCATTTTGCTATTGAACCGATTTTCATGTAACTGTTGCTATTTTTAGGCAGCTTAAAAGCTACTATAGATATGGTACATGAAGCTGGAGCGAAGGTAGTTGAAGTTTTCGCTATCATAGAACTAGTAGATCTGAAAGGCAGAGATAAACTTGATGGTATACCGGTAACGTGTATGTTACAGTACTGATGTACGCGATGTAAATCTTTGATTGCTTCATTTTTTGTGCATTAAATTTTTATTGTGTACAGATATTTGACAGAAGAGACCGGACGACAGCTAGCTTCCCTCGTTTGTTGTGTATTTTCTCGATTTAAAACAGCGTTGATGCCTTCGTTGACTCTCTGCCATTTCAATAATAGAAATAGCAAGGGAGCTAAAATGACATCCTTCACAGAGGACTCATGTTACGCACTGTCAGAGACTGTAGAGGCACTGTAGATATTTACGCCGGAAAGAGCTTGAGACTAAATGGCAGGGCAAATTGTTTCTGAAGCGTTATTATAATCACGCATGCCCAACAGGAACTCTGAAATGGTTAGCTGACGAGGATTTTTATATTTTCTGCAGTCACGAATTAGTCCAAATGAATTACACTAATTATAGGCCATTATCTTTGTTAATTCCTAAACATAGGATAGCCATTCATCATGCTCTATACTTTTTGAATTAAAAATGAGCACTCATAGACAATATGCATGGTACATAAGGAATCATGCTGGGAGCTGAAATAGAATTAACATCCCTTTGTCTCTTGCGTGGTCAGGATCTGAGAAACCTTTAGAAATCATTGCCTGAATTTCATGTTCTTAATTTAATTCATGAATGCCCCATGTGTCATTGTCATTAAGGAAAGTTGTCACTATTGCATATAAATCCAATATTCATTAATCTTTGCGTTACCACATGCTGTTTCAGTTGTGCTTCAGCTGAGGTAATTTACTATTGCTATTTCAGAGTAATTCGTTCGCACGTTGGTAGTCATGCTATTTTTTTAGTTTGATGAAAAACAGTTTACGTGTTCACGGTGCTTTAATCAGTCCAGTGACTGACCAGTACGTGTACCATGTCTCACGGGCCTACTTCAAGGTAGGCTTGTGGTAGGGTTTCATCAATTTCGTTTGTCATCCTAAGCAGCTGATACGTTCATAGTCAGAAGGTAAGTTATCGGTCCATGTTGTTGGTGAAATAGTTTCTGGGCAGCGGTGGCGACGAGGCTTATCGAGTCTGAGCAGATTTCTTACAGTTTGTCACGGTTGACATTTTCACATGATTCAATGGTTAATGCCTCTTATCTGCCTATACAGCCAATGTTTCTCTTTCCTAACGCCATCGTAGGGAGTGTCCTTGCTTGGCAGCATGCTGCACAACCCCGGAGGTCTTCTTGCATTGTTCCTTGACTTTACTCAAACTTTGTTTTCTTCCTGGTTGCTTCGTTATCATCTGTCGCTCAAGCTCGTCCACGATCATCCATCGTATCCAATTTGACAGATGAGTTTTTGTTCTCCGCGTGACGGTATTCCCTGTTTCTCCTGTTGAATATTTCCTGCAGTTACATTGTCATTTATAAGCTCACACTAGGGAGATATTATTTTTAGAATTATTTAATAAAATTTCAAGTTTATTAGAGCTTTTATATATCATTAGTATTATATTTAGTGTTAAGTAACCTTCGTAATTTTTCGCTAAGGTTTCTGTGATACGGTAAATTTGGCATGGTTTATTATTATTTTTGTTTGTATTGCAAATTAACTT